AAGCATAAATAACTTTGTGATCAGTGCAAATTTCACATTCGGTCTTAAGAGACCAGACCTAATCTTACCGATCTGTGCGAATTGTTCCCATTCGCAGATGTTTTTTCTGTTTGATTAGTGAAATATATGTGCATCAGTGCTAACAAGAATCTTCACTATTTGTTTTGTTTCATGTTCACTTTGTTTTCTTTAGGATAATAATGACGTTATGGCCCCAGTCTTCCACCACAATCCCCATTATTTATAAGGGCTTTGCTCAAAATGAGCATTGATATTCTACAAAACTGTAAAAAGAATCCGTATCTCTTTTCATGACGTCCTAATTGCCACTGCTGGTAAAGACTGGCGATGATTCTCTTACGTTCGTTCAGTTAAAATCTGGGCTCGTCATTGTGATTTTCGATCTTATTGCTCTCAACCCAGTTCACCGGGATTCTAGCATAGAGAGGATAAAGGGAGTTATTCTAACGTTTTCAGTGAATATCTGAGGTTCGCTGTCTCGTCATGAGACGATCACTCTGTTGTCACGTGAACGTACTCCGACATTACAACGACNCACTCATCCATCGATGGCAATTAGTTCAACCAGTGCGCACATATTTGTCCATTTGGGAACGATCATACCTAACAAGGTGAATCGCTGTGCATAGCAGCATCAAGTGCTGCAACAGCTTCTCCTTTTAGGTACTGAAGTGATGGAGGCAGATTTCCAACAATCAGGTATAATTCAGTTTTCTAAGCACTGGTTAAACAGAGTTGTTGACACAAGTGAAAGTGTGTGAGCGCACTCCTTAAGGATGGCAGCCACCAACCTGTTGGGACTAAGTGATTTATTGAGTTTAAGAATCAACAACTCCTTCGGAACATTCTCTTGTTGAATAGCAAAGGGTTCTATACCGCTAGGGTAATTGTTTGTGCTGGTGATGACAGGCCTCGTCTCCCTGTTGCTGGTTCCTTTATTGAATGTTCTATTTAGCTCCTCAACGTCTATTATTGTTCGAGACGCGATTGAGGATTGACCACTTCCTTACTTGATGATGCTCTAGGTCTCCCGGTAGTTTTTGTTGTGCAGGGTTGTTCGAGTGTAGATGCCGTTCAGTCTATGTAGCTCGCCTTTGATATCAAGTGATAGGAGTTTCACTCTCTGGAGATCTTTGCTTTTATAGGCTCTTTTCTTGCTTCGATGTTACTGTTTCAGATGAGGAGATGAGATGCAATCACACTGAAGGCATAGTGTTTCCCAAGAGCAGCATGTGCTGTGGCAAAAGTTTAGATACCGTATGAGGTGATCACAATGGTTTGAAGGATTTGGGTGTTAGAATACACTAAAGTCCGTCTGGGAGACCATCACATTGAGTCTCTCTAGGTTCTCTTGGTTACATTGACATTTTCTTCTTTTGGTGTTGCGGCTTTTCGTAAACGATTTATGATTGAACTTGCTGTACACGTTGAATAAACTTTAACAAGTGCATGATCTGAGGACCCAAGAAGGAGCGGACAGATATGGAGATAATACTGGGATTATTTACAGAACATGTCTAAATGAGCCTTTAGCCTTGTTGGTAAGCTCGCTATGTTTGTCAAA